TCTTAAGTCGTACTTGGTTGCAAGTTCACCCTCAAATGATCTTGCAGCTTTTAAGAATGCTTTTTGTATCAAAGAAAAATATCCCAATCTTGGTTCAGCATTGGTTGCTAGTATGAAAAGACATACCTGGCACTTGACTGAGCAGTTGGTGCTGCTATTTCTGGCTGATGATGATGTAGAGCAGGAATTAAAAAAAGAGATGTTGGATAGATTAGTTCAGTTCGATGTTCCTGACAAGTTCAAGATTGGAAAACCTTAGCTACCAATCATATCAGAGTCCACTGAGCTTTGGGAACTGGTAGGTCCAGAAAGTTGGCTTCTGTTAAAAATCGCAGAAGTCCCTGATGGTGAAGTAAAGCTGTGGAGAATGGAAAAAGCCCCAAAGTCATTAGATTTATTCAAAAAATTTGTTAAAAATTTGACTTGCGTCAACGATTGTGCTGAAAGAAACCTACGCCTCATTCAGGACTTTGTAGGTGGATATAAATCTGACAATATGCAACAAAAACTAATGCTGATGGCCAGGGACAATAGAAAGAAACTTAAAACAGATCTTTTCAAGTCCCAGTTAAAATATATATATATATATATATATATATATATATATATATATATATATATATATATATATATATATATATATATATATATATATATATATATATATATATATATATATATATTTATATATATATATATATATAAAAGTAATATATATATATATATATATATATATATATATATATATATATATATATATATATATATTGTATATATATATGGTGTATATATATATATATATATATATATATATATATATATATATATAAATATATATATATATATATATATATACATATATATATACATACATATATATATATATATATATATATATATATATATATATATATATATATATATCATATATATATATATATATATATATATATATATATATATATATATATATATATATATATATATATATATATATATATATATATATATATATATGGTTCATCCATAATTTTTACAGATTTTTGATAAGTTTTCGTGAGGTCCCTTAAGGCTTCCAAATTTGAATCTCATTTTTAGAGCAAAAATTTAAATCTTTTACATTATAAAATGTTATAATTCTATATATATAACAACATAGTTTAAACAAAAACATGTTTAATATAAAGCTAATTAGATTTACAAGTTAATGTTACATTTAAAACTTCAACTTAAAAAAAATAAAATGTTTTAGTCAATTTTGTGACCAAATATAACAAAAAGTGAAAGAACTAGTAATTAACTTGAAAACTTGTTAATCCTTATACTTAACACACTTATATAGTACTTTGCGTCTTTTTCAAAACTATAATGTAATTTTCTATGCAGCTCAACACCCTGCAACAACGATGCTCTTTGCTCAATATCAGTTGCAATGATTGTTGCAAAAACCGAGATTAACTTGACACCACGCTTCGCTGGATTGTTAATAACTTTAACTTTACAAACAAATTGTTCTGCAACTCTAAAAGCCTGGTCGAAGTTCCACTGCTTCACTGGTTTGGAAAGCCAACCAGTGCTCTCTTTTAAAATGTGGAACAATAAATGAGATTAGTCCTAATCAAACTTGTCAAAGATATTTCACGACCAATTTTTGGGAACACTAGGTTACCAAGGCAAAAGTTTCCTGGTATTGGAGTCAAAAGCAATTGATCCGCCATTTCTTTTTTTAGTCCATGTGTCATTAAATGATGTTTACTAAATAAAGCAAACGACACAACTTTTTCTGACAAGTACCATTGATAATTACGGAGTTTTTAAGTTACAACATCAGCAATATCTTTGTCAACACTTCTTAAATCAGTTATGTCATGAATAAACTGGAGGTCGTTCATAGATACATCCTCTCCCCATCCATGCAGGAGTGTGGAAATGAGCTAAAAATCTATTCATACGCATGAGTTTAGCAACCGTGTTATCACCATAACGCTTCTGTATAGAAAACATATACATCTTTCCAAGATGTATGTTGTTTCCCATTCAACGTGCTTGATGCATCCCCCCTGATTTCAGAAAATGGGTGCCATGTGGGGGAGTTTCACTCAAGATCATCATAGTGCTTTCAGCAGATTCACAATAAGTATCTCTTGGAAAAAGTTGTTCAATCCTCGCAATAGATGTTTGTAAGTTCTTTGACGACTTTATGTTTTATATTTAACAACCATTCGTTTTCAGTTTTTAGTACTCGTATTGTTTGACCATACATCTTTAAATTTTGAAAACAGTTTGTCTTCCGGGCCTAAAATGTTATCAAATAATAAATTCCATACAGCACCAACAATAAGTTCTAAAATGTGATGACGACAAGCTAGATAGAGTAACTTTTTATCTAGACTTGCTTCTGTTAACTTACCCGCTCCTTTGTGCATACCACTATTGCTAACTGTTGAATCAAACACTAGAGCTAAAACTCTGCCTGACACATCACAAACTTGTATCAGATCAAGTCCTGCTTTAGCTTAAGTTGCTCCTTAGGAGTTAGCTGGAGAAGGTACACCTAATAATTTCCCTTCCTTGTATTAAGGAGCTCCAGAAAGAAGAATTTCAAGTCATTCACTTGTGTCTTCAAGCATATCTTTTAAAAGCTTACTATCCCAATGCAAAGTAACAAATTGGGGAGGTTTCTAATTCACTATCTCCACGATACTTTCTGCAAACTTTTGGCGATTGAACATTATTATTCTCAGAGATGTAGATCTTGATATCTCAAAATCTTCAATATTACCTCCAACAGCTTTCATTAATGCTGATACAATCTTTGTCGTTTGATTGTCTGACAACTTGAGACGGTCAGCAGCACTGGTTATTTGGTCACAATGCATTATTCTCCACGTAACTTAAGAGTTAAATGTTTGCCTTGATCTATTTTTGATGCTTCTTGTTGTAGATTTGTTTCAAAATCATGGTCTCAGAATAATATTCAAGCAAAGTAGCAACTCCTTCAACCTGTTCTTCTCTTAAAATATGCAACCTGCACTGTTCACTGTTCTGCAATTCTTGATTCACGTGCTTGTCTTGCAAGTTTCATTTCGATTTTGGTTTCAAAAACTTTATCATGTCCATCCATACATGCTCTTCTTTCCTGTTGTTGGTCCAAATAAAATCTTTTTTTTTCCTGACAAAAATCTTGAATTTTTTACTTTATCTATGGTGTCAGGTAAACCAATGTTAAAAATAGAATTCAATCGTTCAATAAAACTTGATCTCTACACATAAAACTAAACTTAAATCTCTATATCGGCATCAGAAACACGCAGCTCGCATAATAAATTTAAAAAATCGTTTTCCGAACTCTGAACCGCTTTTTAAAGAAATGGACGTTTTAAATGTTTATCAACTAAATGTATTTAATGTTTTGTGTTTTATGTACAAATGTAGAGAGCTTATGTCCCCCGATGTATTTGTAAACCTTTACAAAATTAAATCCCAACGTTTCATAACATCAAACATGCAAATCTGTCTGTATTTAGTTTTTATGCGTTTCATATTTCAAAAAACAAGGACTGCATCAACCACAACATAAGCAATATCCTCATTCTTCACTTTATTTTTAATATTTTCTGGATTGTTCCTTAAAAGTAGGAGATATTTCATAATTTGCTTACAATCAAGCAGTTTGGTCCCATTAATTGATGTTGAAGGATGACCAATTAACCAAAAATAAGTTAACTTTCTTGTCACAGGTTTTCTTGGAGTTTCTTTATGTAAGCTAGAAGTACATTGACAAAGAAGATTCTCTTTTTGTTCTTCAGACATTTTGTCTTCAGTACTTTGCCGTGGTGATGGTTCGCAGTTTTTACTACTTTGAGTCAACATTTTTCCCATATATTCATTGATAAAATTAAATTTATTATTTCACTAAACACTATCAAAACACGAATAATACAACAAAAAGCCACTGAAAACCAGTCAAAATTTTTTAGAAATAATTTTTTGATTATTGCGATTTTAAAAAAACCAAGAAAAAAAAGAACTTATGCAAGAAATGGAGAACATGTTAAGAGGCCTTGACAGACCACAGGATCACTTTTAAAAATTTTACAAAAATTTGTAAAAATTTTTTTTTAGACGTAGTATTGAAAGTATAATGGAAAAAACTTCACTTCGTGATGTTTTGACACTTTATATTATATGCTGGACAACCCTACTTATACAAATATATATATATATATATATATATATATATATATATATATATATATATATATATATATATATATATATATATATATATATATATAATATATATATATATACAAATAAGCTACATTTTTATATTGCTAAAAGTCTAAGCAATTGAAGTAACTCGGAAGTACCTTAAGTTTTGTAATTTTTTAAAAAACACAATTATAATAATTAGAAACATTTTTGAATAACATTGTTAATGTTTTTGCTTTTTTAAAAACTTTTTTTTAAATATATGTTACATCAACTATATTACAGCTTGTTGCTATAAGGGAGTGTTGCTACATCGACTATCTTGAAGCCTGACTCGCAACGGAGTGCGGCTACATCGACTGAGGGTTTGGTTAGGGTAGGCAGTCTACCAATCAGGAAAAAGTAATTTTTAAAAGTATATAAAATTTTTCTGGTCGGGTTTATTTCAACGTTCGTTGAACGCAAAACGTTCAACGAACGTTGTGAACGCTCAAGAACATTCTATGAACGTTCATAGAACGTACTCAAACGTTCACAACGTTTGTGGAACGCTCTTGAACGTTTTGTGTTAGCTGGGTCAGGACTCTTTTTAAAACTAGAGTTTATGAAAGAAAACATTAAACTAGTCCTGTAGTCTTAAAAGCACCTTTTAAAACTCAAACTTCTAATTATTGAATACTCAGGTGCCCAGTCTTTTTCCACTCCAGATGTTTATTTCAGTGTAACATATACATGAACAACTTAGAATTAAATTAAAAAATAGACACTCAAGTTAAAATACATACTGCTTTGTCATCTTCAGCAATATGCGTAGAAAATGCATATCCAATATGAGCACTACTTTGAAGCGAACAGATATTGAGATAGTAACGACTTACAGCAAATCCAGGAAAGTCTGGAGATGCATATAGCGCATCATTAACTGAAACAGAGCCTTTTACTTGGACTGGAACAATACCCATCATACATATAGTTTCACTGCGCCCTAATAAAACATGGTAGTTTTCTATGTTAACAAGTTTTAATTAATTCAAGTAGATAGTTCAAATTATTTTACTTTAAATAACCTAAAGTCACACTAACTAACAATATATAACGGAAAAAAAATTAGTAAATAAATAAATTAATAAAAAAGCAAAACATATAAAGTATATGGTCCTAAATGCATTTACTTATTAAGATATACATACAAATTAAAACGTTGTAGTAATTTAGCAGCATTAGCAAAATTTAAACAATTAAAATATATAAATATAATTTATTTAAAAATAATTGAAAAACATTTGTTATAAATATGATTGCATATATTATAAATAAATAAGAAGTATATTTTTTTTTATGAAAAAAAATTTCAAAAAAATAATTAAATCACTTCCATCTGTTGGAACTTGAGCTTGCAAGTAATATGATCGACTGATAACACCTTTAAGAATTGCCTCTGTACAGTTTTGTAAATTCAGCTTCCTTAAAGAATACTTTCCATTTATATCAGCAATAAATCCAACAACTTCTCCTTTTTTAAATTGTTCATCTTCATTCTCTAGTGGCCAATGATATGCAATATCACCATTAGTTGTCTGAATAGTGTTGTCTATGCGTAATTTTTCTCCAAGTTCCAAAGTTTTAGTTTGAACAAACTCTGCAACTAACTTTTTGCATTTGAGTATGTTAACATTATTAATGCTAGGACAAACTTCTTAAATGAAAAAAAAAAATTACAAGTTAGAAAAATTGGAATATATATATATATATATATATATATATATATATATATATATATATATATATATATATATATATATATATATATATATATATATATATATATATATATATATATATAGCGGCTTTGCGTAGGAGAAGAGGTGTGTTAGTATAAAATTGTATCTTTTCTAAATTATTTTGTTATTGTTATTTTCTTAACATAATATCTTTCATATAATCTTAAATTTTCGCGTTACTTACTTAACTTTACTTACTTTCATATAATCTTAAATTTTCGCGTTACAACTTACTCTTATAATTTACAGCCTTAATTAATCTAACGATTAAGTAACAATTATCTATTTAATAATACTGAACTTAATAGTAGTGCGCTTTTGAGCCTGTTCGACGCGGTACCCTTGGCAGCCATTGCAACCGAGGAAATGGCGAGAATGAGTTACAGGAACTTTGTTTTATAAGAAAACGTGAACGAATACGTATCCACATATCTAACGTACGTAAACTTTTAATTAAGTAATGTTAAAACATATGTTAAAACATATAGAAACATTTATCAAGTTTTACAGTTTAATTTTCACTTAAAAATTGCATTGCGTCAAGTACTCCTTAATTTTGATCAAAAACATTTTTTTCCGTAAAAATTCCGCTGTTTCACTCCATATATGTCTTTGAGTCTTTGATCAATAAATTCCTCATATCTCATCATGAGTCAAATAAACTACTGTCAGACAATCAATACGGTTTTCGATCCTCTTGCTCTACGGCCGACTCGCTAACTGCTGTAACTGAAAGATTTTATCATGCGTTAGATGGAGGCGGTGAGGCTAGGGCTATTGCTCTCGACATATCTAAAGCTTTCGACAAAGTTTGGCATGCTGGTCTTCTCCATAAGCTTGCTTCATATGGTGTTTCTGGGAAAGTTTTTGAGATTATCAAATCATTTCTTTCTAACCGGTTTATTAGAGTCATCCTTGAAGGTCAACACTCTTCTTTATTTCCAGTAACTTCTTGGGTTCCCCAAGGTTCCATCATGGGCCCTGTTTTGTTTCTTATCTACATAAACGATCTTCCTAACAACCTTCCATCTAAAGTATCTCTTTTTGCTTATGACTCAATTTTATACTCCTGTTTTGACAAAAAATCTTCTCTTTTCAATCGCGTAAAACCAGCAGCTGATCTTGAATCCGATCTCACTTCAGTAATAGATTGGGGTTCACAGTGGCTTGTGAATTTCAACTCTAAAAAAACCCATTTGTTAACTGCAAACAACTACCGTAATATGGTCAACATTTTTATATTAATGAATGACAATCCTCTTACTGAGTCCTCCTCTTTACGTCTTCTTGGATTATCGCTTACTACTGACCTTTCATGGAAACCATATATACAATCGATTGCTAAATTAGCTTCTGCTAAGGTTGCTTCTCTTTATCGTGCTTGCCATTTACTTACTACTGATTCCATTCTCTACCTCTACAAAGGTTCGTCCCCATATGGAATACTGTTATCATATTTGGGCTGGTTTTTCTAACGAGTCACTTTCTCTTGACAAGGTCCAAAAACGCATTGTAAATGTTGTTGGACCTGGACTATCTGCTAAGCTTAAGCCTCTTTCCCATCGTCGTAAAGTTGCATCTCTTTCTCTTTTCTATAAATACTAGTATGGTCACTGCTCAAAGGAGTTATCATCTCTAGTTCCATCAACTAAAGTTCATTCTCGTTTTACTCGTCATTCAGCAAAGTCTCATTCGTTTACTGTATCTGTCCCTGCATGGTCTAAAAACTTTTATTCATCTAGTTTTTTTGCCCGCACTTCAATCCTTTAGAACTCTCTCCCATCTTCATGTTTTCCTGACTCATACATCCTTCAACTTTTCAAGTCTTTTGTCAACCATTTTCTTGCTCTATAACTCTGTTCTTTTTTTTCCTAGTAACTCCCAGCTTAATAGTGGTTGCTTGCAGCCTTGTTGGGAGTGAATGCAAATAAATAAATATATATATATATATATATATATATATATATATATATATATATATATATATATATATATATATATATATATATATATATATATATATATATATATATATATATGTATATAAAAGCGAGCTTGACGTTATAGTTGTTTTTGTGTTTATCAAAAAAAAAAGTATTTCCGCAAAAAAAGTTTAAAAATGCACTAATTTTAAAATTGTAGTGTTTTTTTCCTATAAGCACCTTCATCTTCAAATAAAAAAATATAAAAGACCTATCTTTTTTTTTTTTTAAATAAATATTTACATTAAACGGAATAAAAATATTAATGTTTAAACATTGCTAACGATTTGGGATCACTTTTCTGTTTTTTGTGGCTTTTACAGAAAACCTGTCTTGGGTCAACTAAGATTTTATAACATAGCTTCATCCCTCATGGTGTAAATTTGGATCATTTATAAATAAATGCCTTTTTTATCTAATTTTTGGTGTGGATCGCTTATTTTTTATTTTTAACTATTTTTTAATGCATTGACATTTTTAATTTTATAATTAAATAATGAAAATCGTATTATTTTTGTAATCTGCACCAAATTATTGAAATTTCAGCCCTTTTTGCATATACTACTGTGATCAAAAAGTAAGGTGATAAGTTAAGTTACCCATGTAAGGTGATAAGTTGATAAGTTAAGTTACCCATGTTGGTGATAAGTTAAGTTACCCATGTTGTAAACCATAAAGTAAGGTGATAAGTTAAGTTACCCATGTTGCTCCACAACCACCGTATTCGCCCTAAGTCGGGCGAATACGGTGGTTGTGGAGCAACATGGGTAGAGTTTTTGGCGAAAAACTCACGAAGAACCAGTGCTGTGTGCGAAGGCGCATTATCGTGGTGCAAAATCCAAGAGTTATTGGTCCATAATTCCGGTCTCTTTTTGCGAATAGCTTCACGCAAACGTCGCATAACGCTTAAACAATATTCCTTGTTGACAGTTTGGCCAGTTGGAAGGAATTCGTAGTGCACGACACCACAATAATCAAAGAAAACAGTCAACATGACCTTGATTTTTGAGCGACTTTGACGTGGTTGCTTCGGTCTCGGCTCGCCTTTCTCACAGTATTCACTCGATTGGTCGGTTGTTTCAGGGTTGTATGCGTAGACCCAAGTCTCATCGCCAGTAATAATTTGTTTGTAGACGTCATGGTAGTCAGAAAGCATTGCTTCACACGTTTTAACCCGACGCTCTTTTTCAAAGAAATTGAGAAATTTCGGCACCAAACGTGATTTGAGTCTTCTGAGGCCCAAATGATCTTTCAAAATCGCTTGCACTGACCCAAATGATATTCCAACCATGTCAACAAGGTCTCGAATGGTTAACCGACGATTTGCAAGCACCAATTCTTTGATTTTATTGATGTGGCAATCATCAATCGAAGTCGATGGTTGTCCGGAGCGTTCCAAGTCATCAACACGTTCTCGGCCTTCTTTAAAGTCTTTGTACCACTTGTAAACATTTTTATGAGACATAGTCTCTTCACCGAAGGCCTTTTGCAACATTTGATACGTTTCAGCAGCAGAAATATCATTCCGCAAACAAAATTTAATAGCTCTTCTTTGCTCAACAAAATTAGACATCGTGAAAATCGCCGAATGCACTTTTGGTACTTCAGAAACAAGCGTAAACAAAAAAAAAATAATTATGAGTTTGACATGTAATTTGGCGCAAATGTTAATGACATTCCTACCAACTTAAAAATAAAAAAGATTGGACGATTCGAATAAGACAGGAAGTTCAAATTAAAAATTCACCTTACTTTTTGATCACAGTAGTAAAAATCAATTGTTTGCTGTACCTCTAGCTTTGTTATGAAATATGTTTTCAAACTTGGCCAGTTTAAAAACAAATTTTTCTAGTTTAATCCGCAAAACATTGTTTACATTTCAAAACATTCACGTGACCTTAAATTATGTGCGTCCCAAGCAATTATGTAACAAATTTTTTGTAAGACAACTTTCTTGCGAGACGAATTTTTGAAGTATAAAATAAACAAAATTAGGCGGTTTTTTCTTTAGAATGGTGCATAAATCTATTATCAACTGGGTGTTCAAATACTTATAGAACTTATTAATGGATCATCTTATTAATGGATCAATCAAAGTTGTTTATAAGAATAAAAAAATATTTTCAAACAATTTAAATTAGCTATTTGTATATTTAAAGAAACGTTTATTTTTTGTGTAAAAGGATTGATTCAAGCGCCATAAAATAATTCTATCACTAAAAGCGAGGTTAATTCAAAAAATTTAACTCAGTTTTGGTCATGAATCATTTTATTAGTCTTTATTTATTAACAACCTAACACCATATTATTAAAACTGTATGCATAAAAAAGAATTGCCCAAGTTTTTTAAAGGCTTCAGCTTAAAATGTTAACAATAAATATTTTAAACTTGAACTCTAGTTTTATTTTATAATGCATTGAATTTATAAACTTAGTAAATTATTTTCTAAAACAAGAACTTCTAGATTTAATAACGTGCTCGTTTAACAGCTTATCCCCCCTTTAACAACATTTTTCATCATTTTGCAAAAAATGCGGTTTGCTTGCAGACTTTAATAAAGACTATTTCAGTTTTCCATTAACAATTAAGTAAGATTTTTTTATTTTATTAATAGTTAAATAGTGAGTGTATATGATAATTACTATCAGAAAAATTTTTTTCTGATTTTTTTTTGATAAAAAGTAACAATAAATTACTAAAATTTAACCAATCTTTTCATTTGTTGCGTATTTTATAAACTAAAAGAAATTTTTTTACTATTGTATTAAATGTTGTATGAAAAAACATTTTATTGTTGTTTTTGTTCCTTTTACAAAACAAAATTATCTCTAATATTTCAAAAGTTATAAATGTTTTAGTAACACCCCCTCAATCAAAATTTTCAAAAAAAAAACAAGAAGTTGTAAAACTCACTCTGAAATAGCCGTGTTTA